TGTGATTGCCAACAAGGGTTTTGCCACCAAGTACTAAGTCATGTTTTGCAGAGGGGTCAAATACTTATTTCCCTCATTAAAATGCAAATTATTTTTTACATTTTTGACATGCGTTTTTCTGGATTTTGTTGTTGTTATTCTGTCTCTCACTGTTCAAATAAACCTACCATTAAAATTATAGACTGATTATTTCTTTGTCAGTGGGCAAATGTACAAAATCAGCAGGGGATCAAATACTTTTTCCCTCACTGTACAGATGTACGTTTCTTACTGGTAGGAACCCCCTGGTTCCACCAGCCCACAGGGGATTATTGTGTCCGTCCATCATGCATCCAAAAAAACCTCCGCACAGTTTCTGGAAGTTTTCCAAAAAAACCTCCGCACGGCTTCTGGAAGTTTCTTGCGCAACACGTCCGTCACGACGACGCCCAATCGACCAATAGCGATGTACGGTGGCGGTCGACCACGCTTCAATGAGACGCCCGAGCAGCACGCCCGATCATCGCGTTTGCGGTCGCGCTCGTTCCGATCCATGAGGCGGCGCATTGGAACCTCCTGCTGATTGCCAACACGGCCAGCCCAGCCGGTGCGACTGTGTTTGTCCTCGACTCGCTGGCGCGAAGCAACGGCAGGTAGAACAACGCATGATTGCTCCAGGCGTTCGCCGCCGAACTCGTTCGCAGGGTCCTGTCGCCTGACGCGCCTGTCGCAGCGCCGCTGCGTGTCATTCGGGCGGTTGTGCCGCGGCAACCAAACACAGACGACTGTGGCGTGCACGTCATCATTAATGTCATGCACGCCGTGCAATCGTATGCCCGCTTTGTCGCCAACGATGGCCACGGCATCCTGAAATGCCTCTAGTGGTACGACCTGGACGCGATACCCGTCTTCCGCCACCGCCTGCTGGCGGAATTGCACTCTATTTAGGCGGGAGAGAGGCTGCTTTAGGTGGTACATGCACATCCAGGTAGAGCAAGTATTGTATGACAACTTGTTCAACAACCCCCCGATGGGTTTTGTACTATTCTTTTTTTTTGAGGAACAGCTTTTTTTCCTCTCCGCCATCCCAGGTCCCCACTCGGTCCCCACCCTTCACGCCAGCTTGTGCCCGCCCTGACAGTCGGGCATATTTGCGGAATACACCACGCCGCCGTTGACCCTGGCCATTGACCGAGCAACCCAACATTCCTACCAGCTCCCTCCGCAGGAATGTGTTTTTTATTAATGAGTCGAACAATCTTCCCGTTTTATGTTCCGATTTAAAAAATACCAGGTCTCATGCACGGTACATGTTCGTAAGTCAGGGACTGTATGTGGATAAAATAAACTATGACTCGTGAAAATGATGACCGTACAATTTCTATGCTGTCAATTACTCGGCAATTTTTATTTATAATCACTATTCTGACGGACAAAATCGCCACTTACGTGCGACTTTAACTCTTGGGTTGATATACGTTATGTTTACAAAACACGTGAAAGAAAAACTAAAGCAGCAACGATTCCACGATTTTGTTTTTCATTTCCTGAAAACAGACCAATCTTTTATCGGAACTTGTATTGCACTTGCAACGTACATGTGGCCTATCACACCTTCCTGGCATGGAATGGAAACAGATGTTCACTGAAATTTGCGTGGGTTTTTTTCTGAAACTGACTAAACCAGCAGAGCAAAAAAAAGCTCCTGGTTGGTTTCGTATTTTTTTTCCTTGTTCTGTAACAGAAGCGGTCGAAGTGGAATTCAAGGCTCGCCGCTTCATAAAGCGACCCGACAATTTGGTGAATATATTGTCTTCGCATTCCTCCTAACCGATACCTTACACTTTACCGTGATGTTAACTACCTCGCCTGGTATGCAGGATTTTGTGGGTTCGATCCCGACACTGACGCCTGCTGTATATTTGGAGTTTGCATGTCTCTCTCCCCGTGATGGTATGGATTTATCTGCGGGTCAACAGGTTTTTCCCTCCACGTTTAGAATTAACATCACGCGTTTTAGAGTATTTGGCTGCTCGTATGAATTCCCTGTGTACGTATCTCACGAGTTATCTCGGACTATCTTACCTTATCTTACCTATATAAGTAATTTTTCTGTCTGTCTGTCGACACACCCTTGTGACGCATTTCACTCACAAACTGCTGGGTTTATGTTTCAACAAACTACACACATACGACGGAATAAGCCCCCGACTGACAAATCGCGATTTATTTTTCCCATCCGTCAAATGTAAAGTAGTTAAATTAACAATGGAAACTATTTATAAGCACAGGGTGGCGCTAAAGCACGCATCTGCGAGAGAACGCTGACTCTGTGGGGGGGGGAATTCTTATTTGCATTCAAAATGCAACAAAAAAAACATAACGCTGAGGTAAATTCTTCAAAGTGTGATGTCCCCGTCCCTCCCACCGCAATGTGTGCAGTTACTACTATAGAGTCGGTAGATACTACTATAGTCTGTAGCTACTACTACTGTAGTGCAGGCGGGGGGATGGTGGGGGGGTAGCGGCCCAGCCCCAGTCGGCCAAGGCGCCACTTTGACCGGCTGGGCAAGCCAGGCGAGGCCGGGGGCTCTGCACGGGACTAGGCATCACCATGGCACTCTGTTAAGTTAGTAGTTCACTGCTATAGAGTCATAGGATACTATTGTAGAGTCGGTATATACGACTATAGAGTAGGTAAATACTATTCTAGAGGTAGATACTACTGTAGAGTCGGGAGATACTACTGCAGTCGGTAGATGCTACTGTAGAGTCAGTAGATACTGCTACAGAGTAAGTAGATACTACTATAGACTAAATAGATACTACTATAGATTCAGTAGATACTACTGTAGATATACTACTGTAGAGCCAGATACTACTGTAGAGTCAGATACTACTATAGAGTCACTAGATACTACTCTATTGTATGTTGGGTGTGTAGGTATATATGCCTACGCAGGGGTAAAAAAATAATTTGAGGGGTGGGGTCGACAATTTTCGGAAACCTTTTAGATCAACTATTTACCCCCCACTTTCTATAACTTTTTGGACTACTGCAAGCCTCTTATAATTTTGACAGACAAATGGACAAACGGCACGCTGTGCTTTCACAATAGCTTAGTATTTGTTTATGTGTCTGTTATATTTTTAAGAGAAGTTTTGAAATATATTTTTCTCCCGGGCAACGCCGGGTACTTCCCGCTAGTATAAGATGTATATAATAAAGGAAATTTGTGAATGTGTCTGTTCGAAATGTTAGCATACATCCCAACATGCTACAAACTTGAAATTTGGAATGTGGGTAGTTTCCAGACAGTACACAATGCAAAAAGTATAAAAATAGACTTTTGCTTTTCTTTTTTTTTTGGGGGGGGGGGCACAATAATGGAAAAAATATATTGCATGGCAATTGAGCGGTGACGTCACATATATGATGTCACCCGCATGTGGCAGTGTTATGCAGTGTGCCTGCTGACGTCACGCATCCTCCCCCCTAACCCTCCGCGTATGCCGTGTATCCCGCACAAATGCGCGGCATAGCTGTCTCGATTTTCTACGTCAACGCGACTATTTTCAGCTCGCTCTTAAATATAAAGCAGAAAATACATGTTTGTGTGAAGCGGCAAAAACTCTCCAACGCTGAGCTCTGACGTCATGAACACAGCTTATGCTGTCTGGAATTTCTAAGTGAACGCGACTATTTTCAGCTCGCCACGTCATTCCCTTCCCGAGTTGCTAAAATCGACCTTACGTATAAGTGGGTTAACGTTGAGTGAAAAACATCCGATTTAGTTAAATTGATTTGTTTCTGCTTTATCTTTCTTGCATAAAAACATTTCAGGGGTTTTCAGTGAAATATAAGGGAATATTAAATTAATTCAGGACAAGAATCCAAGTCCCGGGCGGAGCCGGGTAGTAAAGCTAGTTTATTATAATGGTATGTTTCCATAAAGTAGTGTTCCTCAGCTATGCAACTATCACCGCATTATAGAACAGACTGTATTACACCTCTTATACTTCTACAAAACTTCGTCCGTAGATATTTGTATACATGCGTAGTGTTTGTACTTATTTCTACGCGGAGGACCATAACCTAAAACTGACAAAAAGCAGCAATTACAAGCATTTGTATGGGTGTGTGAATGGGTGAATAAGTGAGTGGGTGAGTGAGTAGGTGAGTTAGTGACTGGATGGGTGAGTGTGTGACCAGGTGAGTTAGTGAGTGGATGGGTGAGTGGGTGAAGTCTGTGGGTGTGTTAGTGTCTTTCTGAGAGAATGGGTGAGTGGTTAAGTAATTGAGTGGGTAAATCACCCTGTACCACTTGCCTAGCTCTGCCAGTGTACCCTGCAGGTTTTGTATATTTCGTTATTTCCATACACGGGGCGCATCGGTGGTGGGATCGACGAATGGCATTCGCCGCTTTATACCTGTAGATTATTAATCTATTCTACTTATAGCACACTTTTTCTGTAGATATTTGTATACATTCGTCGTGTTTGTACTTATTTCTAAAACTGACAAAAATGCAAACTCAAACTCCAATTCACAATTAACTTATTTTTTGGGTGAGATCACGTAGATATAAATGTGTCGCTAACCCACCACAACCCAACATAGCCAATCAGTAAGGTTTGCCAAGTGAACAAAACGTGCAAATTAGTTACTACTTCAGTACATCCGTTGTTCTGGAGAGTAAACCCACAACATTAAACATTTCAGTACGACGTTTCACTGGTGATTACAACCAGCTTCATCAGGCGATTTGCCAGAATTGTGAAGAAGTCTTCCTGTTTCTGGTCTAACAGAGGAAATTATTATTTTTACAAAGCATTTTAAATATCAGTCGCAGTTTCAAGCATGGGTGCGGTTCTCCCCTATATAAACTCAGCCTTAAAAGAGTACTTACCTGGTGTGGTGTACAAGCACAAAGCACTCAGAAGACGAAGGTAGTCGAACGTGGTTTTGGCTATGCTAATCGTGCTGTTTGTGTGGCATTGTGTTTCCTAACAATGGCGAGGTGTCTTCAGTACGACCCCAATCAGCATGAGGACAGCGATGGTGATACTTGGAATGGTGATGGTGGTAATGGTGGTGATGGTGATCAGTTCTGAAAGGACAGGTAAGATCTGATATTGAGATATGTGTGTGTGAGCTTGCTAACAGCACTGTTAAGGCTACATAGGGGATCTTTGTCCATATTGTGGGTAGCGTTGGCACAGGAGTTAGTGAGCTGCACTTCGTTGCCGGCAACACGAGTTCAATTCCGTTGATGGCCACCAACACCAGTAACGATTATCTGAACTGGTCCTGGGACTCCCCTATGTCAACTCAGCCTCAAATGTGTACCTTGTGTGATGTATAAACATTGCCACTGGCCACTAACCCCCTCGTGTGCCGTGGCGGCCTTCATAGGTGGTCGCTAACAGCACTTGCCCTAACAGTCTGTTAAGGCTACACAGGAGACCATTGTCTTTGTCCGCAGGTTGCTTGCACGGCTCAGGTTGAAGTGCCACTGACTGCCTCCCCATCCCTTGCATCGCTCGCATCTCTCGCTCGCCTGTCACCACGGTAGCAACCTATGTTACAGTTCTTCAGGGTACAGTACACCAGCGAAAGACTAAAACTAACCCCCGCAATAGCTAACTTAGTATACAAAGAGCTCGCCCGCAATAGGTTGAATCCGCGAAAGATGAACCCGCGATATTCAAGGGTCCTTCTGTACAATAAACTTGGGCACATTTTTAATTGATCATCAGCCATGGTCAATCAATGGAGTTGAAGATGGCAGCCTTCAAGCGGTCCACTCTTTTACGTGAGATAACTTATGCCATCAACGCAGTGACCAAACATCAACCATCAATCCCCCAGTCTCCATAGCAACAACACAAGCTACTCCAATGGCCCTGTTCAGGGCCCAAGAACGTGCCAGATAGGCCCTGGGACAAGGATTCTACAACTGAACATTGAGAGACTTTCCTGGGCAAAATCTATAAAACCAGATGCATCCCAAAAGCATTGCGGGAGGTGGTGATTTCTAGACCCAAATCGGGCAAGCCAACCGACAACATGAGACGCTGTAGACGGATATCATTCCAGTGCATGACTAATAAACTCCTGGAATGCATCATCCTCCGGAAAATCAGCAACCTTGTCGGGTCAGTGATTTCTAAAGAATATTTACAAAAATGGAGGCTAAAGCCAAATCCCCAAAAAACAAGTCACTGCATTTCATCTTGATAATAGGAGCGCCAAGCACACTCTGAAAGTGACATTTTACACAAACACTGTGCAACATGACCCCACTACAACCTATTTCGGAGTGAAGCTGGACCGTACGGTAATCTTCCACGACCACCTGATAAAGGTCGCTGCCAAGACAAAAACAAGGGTTAACCTGGTTCAGAAACTGGCAAGCAAAAGCTGGAAAGCATCAGCACCAGTGCTACGGATATCAACTATGGCCCTTGTGTAGTCTGTAGAAGAATAATTTGCAACAGTATGGAACAGAAATAGTCGCACTCGACTTGTTGATGCCCAACTGAACACTGCAATGCGATATATCAGTGGAATCCCCAAGTCGACCTCTACACCCTGGCTGCACGTACTCTCACATCTCTCTCCCACCCTTCCACCACAATGCTGCAATCCTCTGGGAAAATCAACGAATTGAAGAAAACAGCCGCCTTCCCATTCATTAGTACCTCAGTAATGTCCCTCATTATCGCTTTTTAATCGGCAAACCCGCGATGTGCAAATTCAAAGGCATCAATGTGAAAACTCGGGTTTTGTTACCGGTTCGTCATACAACACCCACCCCTCCTTTTGTTTATCGTTACCCTACGTCAACCCAAACATTAAACAGGAAGAACTTTGAATGTAAAATGTTTGTAATATTTTCTAGTGTTCAATATAACTTGTATGGTAAATGTATAGAATAAAAACGGGATGTAATGTGCAGTACTGTACAGTATCTGTGCGGTTGAACCTTCCCGCCTCCTCGCGAGGGGCTGGGAACACCACGTGACCTGGGACCCGCCCTGGGTACTCGGGAGACAAGATGAAGACAAGACAGAGATAAGATGGAGACAAGACGGAAGACAGGACAGGGTCAAGATGGAGACAAGACGGAAGAAGAGACAGACTAGACGGAGACAAGATGGAGACAAGACGGAATCAAGGTGGAGACAAGGTGGCACGTGTGTTCTTTCTCAGCAGTAGCATCACCACGAGCAGTACAGTTAGGACTTGTACAGGAATCTCATGGTCAACTGTGAATGGTCGAGCCATCAAAGGGAGGACACGATAGGCAAACTGTACCTCAATAGATTCGGTGCGAAACCGCAAAACCACGATAGATAAGCCTGAGAGGGAAGGGTGTTGCTGTGTATTACACTTTTAAGGTTCCTTGTCAATATCCAACGCTCTCGCAACTAACGATTATTTTCCTCTTCACACACAACCAAGCAGATGCCTGCCGTGATGGCCAGCAAGTCAGGGTGAATGAGAAGAGAACCATTCTCAACTGTTCACTGTCACTGAGCTCTGGAGACCATTTGGTCAAAATTGAATGGAGAAGAGACAATGTTGTTGTAAGTTATGAAGAATTGTGGGCGGTGCGGAATCTTATCTGTACATCATAAACATTCATATAGAAATAACCTTTGTACAAGGTGTGTTAAGTACAAGGGGCTTTGCTATAATCATAAAATTGTACATACGATTGTGGTAAAAAAAAAGTGAAGTGATTGAACGCGATTTAAAGCTTTCGTGACTGCAGGGATTCATCTTCTTGGTTCTTTCGGTAAAGTCACGTAAAAGGGAAATAATAAAATAATGAAAATAAAATAATTCTCACGACGTTTCGGCTACAACGCAAGCAGCCGTCCTCAGGTGAAGAATGAAACACCACCAAGCTTGGAGCGTATATTTAAGCTGGGTTGGAGGGGGAAGAAGAGCGCCTTGACAAAAGTATTTGCATATCAAGAGGAATTTAGCATATTTATGGGAAATGTGTTGAAGCGTGAAACCACAACATTTACAATTTGAGTACGACGTTTCGCTGGTAATTGCGATTTAAAGGTTTTTATTAACTTCTCAACGGGTACAAGGAAAACCAAAGAGAGTACTGAAAACCACTCCTTCCCGGGCGCCCCGGTTGGCCCCTTCGAGTCTCCGTCACATCCGCGGGCTCCACCCACATACAATGCAACAAAAAAGCTCGCCGCCATAACGCACACCGCCCCGTTCCCCTTATTTACATTCATCACCACCATTCACCCATGCGCTGCTCCATCACATCGCCTTCCCCCGATCGAACACGTACATTCCTCGCCCACACGACTTAGCAGGCCGGCTAAAATGTGCATGGCCATCCTTCACTATCCCTTCCCTATACCCGCCGGTCCCCTCGCTACCCCACCCCGGGTAGGGGCCACTTCCACTTCACACCTGCGGCCTTGTATCCCAGCCTAACCCGGTCTACTTCCATCACCCTTTCTAGCAACCTCCTTGCCCAGTAGCACACCTCCAACGGTGATATAGGGGACCCATCCAACTCTTTTCTGCGAGCTCCCCACAAGGCCTCCTTTGTCGCGCCTATTATGGCCCACGTTCAATCTCTGTCATCTCCCCGCACCTCCCTTAAGACTCCCCACATAATGTCCCGACTTATCACCTGCGACGGGTAAAACCAGGACAACAGCGGACTGCTCAGTCTCCACACCTCCTGTGCGAAGGGACACTTCACCATGACGTGCACCGCGTCCTCATCTGTGTTGCAGCCCCTCGGGCATTTGGGCGAACGTGCCATTCGGCGAGAAAACATGAAGCCCCTCGTCTCCAATCTATCCCACACCGCCAACCAGGACAGATCTCTCTGTTCTTTTGTGAGCGCCGTTGATGAAGTGTTCCTCCACACTTGATGGTACATAGTCCTCTTCGCGCCCATCACCCCCTCGCAGGCCTCCCCTTCATTTACTTTGGCCAATACCTCCTTGGAGTTCCACGGTCCCCCTCTCTGACTCAAATTGTACTCTTTTATGTAGTCACCCACCGCCGCATTCAGCCATCCTTGTGGCCAGGCCAAGGGCGTGCCCGCCGGTAATTGGGTCATCCCAAGCCCCCTCAGGAGCCACATCAGGCGATACCTTAAATAACAAGCGGCCTTCCCCCGGGGCTCTTCGGAAAAGAATAACCTCAAAGTGTTGCACACAAAAATTGAGGACAGCACACGTGCAATATTTGGGGCACCCTTCCCCCCGTTCGACGCGTTTACACATCACCACCCTCTTCACTCTATCCATCCCGCCTCCCCAAATGAATTGAAACAGCGATTCCAGGATTCTTGCCTCCCTCCTACCTGGCGGGTACACATATGCGAGGTAGTTGAGTGTTGGTAAAACCACCACCCTCACTACCAGAATCCTCCCATCGTGAGCCGTCTCCAGGCCCACTTGCCTAACTGTCCCTTTACCTGCTTTATCCTCCCGTCCCAGTTTCGTTCCGCCGACCTCTCTCGGCAAAAGGACACTCCCAAGACCTTGACTTCCTCCGTCTTTATCCCCAACTCAGGCGGCCGGCCCTCAAATAGTCTCGGGTCCCCGAAGGCCATCAATTCGCTCTTCTTCGCGTTCACCTTCAAGCCGGAGGCCAGGCCAAAGCGGTTTGTCTCCTTCATGGCCCCCCACACTGATGCCATGTGCCTACAGAGCACGACTACGTCTTCCATATATAGCGCCACCTTCCCCTGTTCCTTATTCCCGGGGATGGTCACTCCCTTAATCTCCTCATTGTTTCTCATTGCCTGTGCAAGGGGTTCCATACACATTACAAATAGAACCGCGGACATCGGGCACCCCTGTCTCACCCCTGACTCTACTGGAATTGTCCCCGAGAGCTCCCCATTTATCAGTAGTCTGGTCTTGAGCCCTTGGTAAAGACGCCTCACCCAATCGACCAAGGGTCCCCTCACTCCTATTTTTTCCAACACTGCGAACATATACTCGTGCGAGAGGCGGTCGAAAGCCTTCTCAAGATCCAGGCTAAGAAGCCATAGGGGGCATCCCCTCTCTCCTACCTCTATTGCCTCCCTTAATAAAATCAGGGAGTCCGAAATCCTTCTTCCTGGCACCGCACACGTCTGGTCGGGTTCGACTACTCCCTCCACCACCTTCCCCAGGCGCGTCGCAGCTATTTTTGCCATAATCTTGTAGTCCGAGTTCAGGAGGGTAACTGGACGCCAGTTTCCCAACTCTCTCCGGTCCCCCTTCTTATACATCAGTGTGATGAGCCCCTCACACATTTCTTCTGGCACCAGTCCGCCCTCCAGCATTTCCCTATACATCTGCAGCATGTCCCCTTTCATTAAATCCGAGAATGTAATATAGAATTCTGCTGGAATTCCATCCAGTCCTGGCGTCCTATTCTTATTCTGCCTCCTTACTGCCTCCTCCACTTCCTCCATCTGGATCCTCCCTCCCAGTACCTCTGGGTTCTTAACCTCATGTCTTAGCTCCCCTAGTAGTGCCTCCCTTATTCCCTTATCCGTTCCCTTCCTCCCATACAACTCCCCATAGTACTCCTCCGCTATCTCTATCATACCCTCTGTCGTTGCCTGCCTGCCTCTGACCGGACTCACCAATTCCCTAAGTGTGTTGTCTCCTGCCTTGCATTTCTTAAAGAAGAAACTCGTACATTTCTCTCCCTGTTCCGTTGCCCTGACCCTTGCCCTGTATGCCATTTGTTTGACTCTTTTCTCCAATACCGAGGATAACCTTCCCTTCAATCTCCGTATATCCTCACCCACCGGGAATCCCAGCTCAAGTAACCTGTGCTTCTCGATTCTAGCGTTCCACAGCTGCAGTTCCCTGTTTACACTCCTACTATGTGTCTGGAAGAGGGCCTTTATCCGGCCCTTCACCATGCTCCACCACTCCACCCTCGTGGCAAAGCATTCCTGCAGGGTCGTCCAGTCTTCGTACTTCCTTACAAAGTCTTCCACGACCCTTCTGTCTTCCAACAGGCTTACATTCATTTTCCAGGTTCCCTTCCCCATCTTCAGGCCACCTGGAATACCGAGCTTTGCCTTCACCAAATTGTGATCTGACAAGGGGAAGGGTTCCAGGTCTGCTCCATCCACCTTCACATTGGCAGACACAAAGATGAAATCTATTCGTGATTGCGTTCTACCGCCCTTATCCGACCACGTGTATCCCGGTCTCACCGGGTGTACCTTTCTGAAGGTGTCAGTCATTTTAAAATCCTCTATCAGCTCCTTCAACTTCCTAGAGGAAGGGTCGAGCCTCCTCCTCCCAGCCACCGATAATAGGTCTGCCAGGCACAACGGGCAGTTAAAATCACCCCCCATTATGACTTGCCATCTCGTCTCGAGCAGGGTCGCTACATTATTCCATAGGTCCACTCTTTCTGTGCACGTCGTGGGGGCGTACACATTTATTAGTCTCAGGTTTGCCTCTCCATAAGACACGTCCACATAATGGAGGCGGCCCGGGATCACCTCTTGGGACCCGATTATCTGTATACCCCTCCTGCCTAGGAGGGTAACCACCCCCGTGCATCGATTTTCATTACTCCCGGACCAAAAGTAGTAGCCATCCCAGCTCTCCAACAGCTCCTCCCGGCCCAGGGTGTATGGTAGGTGTCATTCCTGGAGGAAGACCACCTCCCACTTGATAGCCTGTAGCAGTTGTATTATTGCTCCTCTCCTCCCCTTTCCCTTCAAGCTCCTCACATTTACGGACGCCACGGAAAGTTCCATGTTGGGATGTGTCTCAGTCCGAAGCGGCCTTCTCCGCTCGCCCTCCGTAACCGTCTTCATTCGCCAGTTCCCGCATTTTCATTTTGCCCCTTGTTCTCAAGGGTTTCCCCCTGCGCCGGCTCTCCACCCTTTCCTCCATCCCCTCCCTCGAGGCCTCGGTGTCCGGCGAGGAGTCCGAGGATTCCGTGCTGCCTAAAGGGGCGCCTCTTTTTGGGGCTCTCCGTATCCTCCTTTTCCTTCCGATTGGTCCCTCCCATGTCTCGCTACCGCCTTCCTCCTGCTGTCGTTCCCCTTTTCCTTCATCCTCCTCCACCGCCTCCGCCCAGTCTTCCACGGTCGTCTCGGAGATGCTGCCCATGCCGTCGCTCCCCTCCACCGCCAGCCCCTCTTCCTGCTCGCTCGATGTCAATTCTGCTCTTTTTGCATGTCTCTCCCCTTCTCCCCCTCCATCCGTCACTGGTGGCTGCTGCTCAGCCACCTCCCCACGTCCTTCCCTCACCAGTTCCTTATCCGGGTCCAGTTTGGTCCCACCCCCTTCCTCATCCCTCGCTCCTCCTACCCTTTACGCCCTAACCTTGTTGGCGTATGACTCCGGACAATTTTTGTACAGATGTTCTCGGCTACCGCAGAGGTTACATTGTGCCGGAACACTGCATTCTTCTACCTCGTGGTCCAGTGCCTTGCATCTATAGCAGATTTTTGTCTTGCACACTGCAGCGAGGTGACCGCTGCCCCCACACCTCCTAAACAGTTTAGGTTGTCCGGCATACACAACATATCCCCGGTTGCCTCCTATGTTCAGGGCACTCGGGA